AGGATATCCGAATAAGCTAAATATTTTTTTTAGTGTTCTAATAGTTTCTACAGAATTTACTGTTCGAGTGGGCTCCGCAATAACAAATTTTGAAAAAGCATCCGTTATTACTAGCATGTACTGATAGCCTTTAGCAGTCCTACAAAAGGGGCCTAAGTGGTCAACGTGAACCATGACCATGGGCTGTGTGGGTTTTGGAATAGGAAACAATTTTCCTTCTTTTCTTCCATGATCTCCCTTGCCATAAGCACAATGGAGACATGCAGTAACATACTTTTTAATGAAGCGAGTCATTTTTGGAAACCAGTAGTCTTTTTTTATCAAGTCAATGCACTTTTGGAAACCCACATGCCCAATATCATCATGGTGCATTTGGACCAACTTCCATCGAGCTAATGCTGGCACTACGAGACGATTTCCATACAACGTTTTTCGATATAATCTATTATCTAAGAAAACATAATCGTTAGTAATTTCAGTTGCAGCTGTACCATCCCTAAGCTGGTCAATGATTCGTTTCAATTTATCGTCCTGGTACTGGACTGTATAAAACCAGTCTGATACTTCAAGGCGATTGATATTCACAGTATCGACTGGGTTTCTACTTAATGCGTCTACATGTTTCATTCTCTCCCCAGGTCTATACTCTACACTCATATCAAAATCTTGGATCGACAGCCACCACCGAGCTATACGTGGGATTATGTCACGTTTAGTTAAGGTGGCACGAACAGCCGTACAATCAGTCACGACTTTCACATGTTTTCCTACAATATACACCCTAAATCTACGTAATGATTCAACTACAGCGAGCGTTTCGAGTTCGTAACTGTGATACATACTTTCTTCTTTACTTGTCACCCTACTGAAATACATGACAGGTCGTAAGGAATTATCAATTTGATTCTGTAATAAAATGCCTGCAATACCTAATTTACACGCATCCGTATGAATCTCCGTTGGCAACATAGGATCGTACAAAGCAAGTATAGGTTTTGTACACAAACACTGTTTTAATTGTTCAAAACTATTATATTGTTCATTGCCCCAATTCCATACTGCATTTTTCTTTGTTAAATCCGTTAAAGGGCGAGCAATTATTGCGAAATTTTTAATAAATTTACGGAAGTAACTACATAACCCTATAAATTGACGTATGTCATGAACGTTACTAGGGGTAGGGAACTGTGACACTGCTGCCAACTTTGATTCACCAGGTTGAATGCCATTCGATGAAATTTCATGCCCTAAATATGAAATTTTATTTTGTAAAAACGAACACTTGCTCATATTTAGTTTTAAATTTTCTGATCTTAATTTATTAAGAACTTTCTTTAAAATATTTAATCCCGATTGTACGTCAAATGATGGCAACAATAAATCGTCTAAAAATGCTAGTACTTCATAATCGTTACAAAAGTTATTGCGAAATATCGATCTACCGTCTTTTGAACTGTCATTGGCATTTCGTATTGAATCTACGATCTTATTCATAAGTCGCATAAACACTGAAGGTGCGTTAGCTAGGCCAAATGGAACACGTGTATATTCGTAGTGACCCTGTTGTGTTATAAAAGCTGTTTTATATGTATCTTTAGGATCGATTTTAACTTGATGGTAACTTTGAGCTAAATCAAGACTTGTGAAGAAATTTTTACCAGCTAATTTTGAGACCTGGTCCTCGATGTTTGGCAATGGATACCTATCTTTGACTGTTATAGCGTTAAGCGCTCGATAGTCAACACAGAGTCTACGATCACCGTTTTTTTTCTTTACAAGAATAACTGGGGAAGCAAAACATGACTCAGACTCTCGAATTATACCTGCATCTAATAATTCGGAAACTTTAGACCTAACTATCTCCTGTTCACTAAGTGATAAGCGATAAGGTTGGCGGTAAATAGGTTGTTCACTTGTTAATGTAATTTTCATTTGTAATAAATCTGTACATCCTAAGTCTTGTGTTTTATTTGCAAAGCAATCACTGTAACTAGTTAATAAAGTAATTAAACTATCGTGATCTTTCTTATTTATTGGACCTGACTTTATATCATCTATGTTAACTCCCCCAATAGCTTTAATATTGGCTAGACTTGTATGCAACACAGATGCTATAGGATGGCTATCACAATTGGCTTTGGCTATAAATGACGACGGCAAAGTGTAATTTTGTAGACTAACCTGAGCGTCCGATGGCGGTGTCGTAATGCAGCTGTCGGCTCTGGTAAGCACTTCGCCTTGTTTCCAGGTGATGTTTTGCTTACCATTGTTAATGATCTTCATGTACCCGACGGTGCCTTGTAGCAGTGTGGCAGGAATTGAGTAGGATACACCTTGCAGCTCATAATGTTGTGGAGTTGTGACGACATCGTTACCTTCATCATTATTCAGCACGTTGACTTTAATTATAGAAAGCCCAGGTAATAGACACTCTTTTCCTGTAGTGACGACCTTGAAACGAGTGCGTTCCTCAATTATATCCATGTCTCTTGTGAAATCTACATCTTGCTTGAGGGTGGCTTTGCCTTCGCTTACCACTAAGGTCATTCCGTTGCTGTTGATTACAGGTTGTCCAACTAATAGATTGATGTTCCCCATATCCACGTCCGTTAAATGAGCCTTGCTAGGAATACAAATGCCGTCGATTTCTAATTCAAAAGCTACTTCACCGCGGCTTTCTAAATATTTTCCAGAGAATCCCTTGAGAATAGTTCTTGTCGGGCTGATTTTAAGATCCAGTAGTTTAGATACGTGGCAAGAGAGTACATTAACTTGACTTCCGGTATCAATATAAGATTTAAAGTATACGCCATTAATTTTGACTGCTTTTTCGTAAATCCTGTTATGATTTTGTAGAAGCTTGATTTCTTTAACCTTGTCATCAGTACATGGCTTTTGAGATATAACGCAGCGTGTTGCAATGTGGCCTTGCTTGCCACATTTAAAGCATATTCGTGAATCGGGATACGGACAGTTACGAAGAATGTGGCCAGTTTTCTTGCACCGCGGGCATGGGTCAATGTCTGGGTTGACAGATTTATTATTATTTTTCTCATTTACCTGCCGATTATAAGTAATGGTATCTTTACTCGCCGTACGCATTCCAATAGATGTTGACGGTGGTTGATAGTCGTCTAAGGCACAGAGAAAACCTTCATATAATTCTTCAGGTCGCTCGCATTGATATGCTCTTGCGTTCGCTTGTAGTGATGGTGGTAGGCCACGAATGATGCAAGACACAGTCGCGCTATCGGACAGCTTACATCGGAAACACATGGCGACTTTGTCCTGATAGTACTTCGTCATCGATTCTGAGGGTAGTTTTTTTCGGTTCATCATCTCTTCTAACATATTCCCGAAGTCGCGATGTCTGGGAAAGGCACGCTTCAACATCTGCTTCCAGTCTTCCCAGGAGTAATCGTATTCATCTAACCGGTTGTACCATCTTCTTGCTTGGCCTCTTAATCTGTCTTGTAGGTAAAACGCCTTTGTGGTTTCGCTCCAGTTGTGTATTTCACCCAGTTGATCGATCTTTTTAAGCCATGCTGATGCAGTAGTGCATTCCTCACTGTCGGGGTCGAACTCAGGAATAAGGGAGGCTGCGCGGTGTTCTTTTCTTGTTGTGCCGGTAGGTATCTCTTCATTTAATTCGTACATAGCCTTACGAACTTCGGTTTCTAAGAGTCTTCTAAGGATTTTTCGAGCCGGAGGAGTGCCTGGCGATGTATCTTCGGTTTCACTTGCGTCGGGAGCATCTCGATTATGTGTTTCGAGACGGTCTGTACTTGCCGCATCAGTATGCTGACGTTTCATTGCTCCTTTTTTTATTTTATTTATCCCACTTCTGATATGAAGCAGAAGGGCGATGTATTAAAAAAAGACAAGTACTTGAACTGATTATATTTGAACAAACGAACAGAGTTTCGGCTTATCAACTTAACAATGTTGTCAAAACTTGTCAAAATGAGCTTGCGGGGCATTATATAGCTTTACCCCCACCGGAGGCATCCGGTAGCTGTAGTGGTGGCTTGGCATGGCTTGGATTGGCTGGTTCGATTGGCTCGCTATGATAGGCTGTGGCAGTGTAGCGTAACAGTTCTCATACTCAGATTAATATTGTCTTTTAGTGAATCTAATAAAAGAAATGCCAACTTAATTTAAAATTAATGACTGATACTATGTATATATTATATAAGCTCATATATAACTTTACTTTATTCTACATAAAGCAACCAATAATACTATAGATACTTAGTAATAGATTTTCCACTAGTCGGTGCATCATCGGCGGTTTGCGAGGGCAAAATGTATGGAAACCGTCGTCGGTCAATGGAAGAACGTGCCTACTACGTATATTTTTCACATATTTTTCTGCCGCGCCATGCTGACTATTGAAAATACGGACTATGGTTACTTTAATCAGAATAGAAAAGTGAAGCATTTGTATAAAAACACAATACGTCTGCTGCGTACAGTAGGAACGATGTGCGTGCAACCGCTAACCAATGAAATTCTTTATTTCCCCGATATAATATTATTTGGAATTTAATTATGTCGCATGTTGATAATGTAAATTATTTGACATACAACCGCGTTTTTAGATAATGCCATTCTCCATTACATTGGCCCTTCTCGAAATAAAAAAAATACAATTATTTTTAATCCACTTCCATAAATTGTTGCTCACATTACAGCCGATTGGCTGTACTTCTGTCATAAACATAAAATTCGATTCAGAAGTTTGACCAAGACACCATTCAAACGTTTATATATGTACTTTACGTTATATTATTTATTATTAAATTATTAAAATACTTGAAGATTATTTAAAATTACGAGTAGGTATTAGTTTATTTTAACATACCAGAGAAGATTTCAGTACTTATAATTTTTTATTTAGATACCTTGATTTCAGTGTTATACTAAGAATTTAAAAATTTTAAATTCGTGTCACGTATAAAAAACCTATACTGAACAACACATTATATTTCTGTTCACAGTCCGACTGCTTGATTTTCTGGCTACTCTCCACGGTGACCGCGGGTCTGCTGGCTGTATGCATCGTTGGCACACAATACTTTGTTATTGAGGGTAACAATTTTGGTAAGCTCGATGCGGTTAGGAAAAGTGAAGGTGCGTTTTTTTTCTTTTTTCTTTTTTTTTAACGATAATATTAGGATGGAGAAAAAAATATTAGTTCAAAATATTCCAATTTTTTATTTATTTTTGTAATACAATTTATTAATTTTATATTTAATACTTTTATTTATTTATTATTTATATTTATTAATTTTGTAATAAAGAATTGTCATTAAACAATGTTTATCAGTTCTCTGTAATGATTTTTTTGGGATTAATAATTAATTTTTTTATACTCCCAATATTCATCAGGCTCTATCCAGCTTTTTCTTAAAAGATATCAAAAAAAAAATTGTTTTTCATACAAAATTCCCTGCCGCATTTCATTTCTGTACATTAAAAAAATCTTAACTGATTATATTACGTCATTATAAGCATATGTTATCAAATTTTTACCCTTCTTCGTAGTGCCTTTAACTTATGTTCATTTCAAATATTTAAATATATAATCTACTAACGACTTAATTTATATTTTGTTAATTTTAACTTTTTAATGTAACAACTTATTTGTTTCGTAGGTATATCTCATCGCATCACAGAAACTGCAATGGATTTTTTCATGGCAATAGTTCTATGTGGCTATTCTGTGACTGTTTACTTTTTATGGAAAGATCACTACGTGATGTGGAATCGCTGGCGACGAGCAAACGTCAATGTACAATTATTACTTACTCCAGACTCGAACCCTATACCCTTCGTGCCAAGATCTAGATATAACGTTGTTTAAATACATTCTGTAATATTAGAAACTTATTATTTGTATGTATTTATTTGATTGTAAAAGTAGCATTGTGAATAACCGTATTTTAAAAATAAACCTTTTGGAACTTTTTGAATTTTAATTACCTACTTATAAATTACTTATCTATATTATTATATGATAATCATACACAATGCAAATATTCACAGTCAAAAATCTTTATTTAACACGTCCAGATAAATTTCTAAGAAATTAATTAATTTTCTAAGAAATCTATTGTTAATTGTAACGCCGGCGTGTCCGCGGTCTTGGAGGGATTAATACTGGTTACAGAAATACATTTAATGATATTAACAAGTAAAAAAAAATCGTCTGTTAAAAAAAGTGCTCAACCTGGAAAGAACAGCTGAAAAAATCTCAGCGGGACTATTTCATTTTAATGTTTTTCCTGTCGAATCATCTTCCGATCGTAATTTAACAGTGAAGAGAATAGGATGGACTGATGTCTGCGCGTAGGTACACTTGTGCACAATAATATCTCAATCGCAGTTGGCTATTTTCATTGAGATTGGCCTCCGAGGCCGAAATCGATTAGGAGGGCACCTGTCATCATACTTAAGAAACAATAATTGCATATGAAAAGAAATTGTCCAAATGCAAAAATGCTTATCAAAACCGCTTTGAATTCTGCTATACCAAACAATATTACATACATAATATGTATGTTTCACCAATAATGTGATTTTTTATTTCGACCTTCATAAGGCCAGATCCACACTAGAATGCCCATCACAGTCAATTCTCGGTCCGATATCGGTCTGGTAAAGTGTTTTTATAAAAGAAACGTTGCCAGAGTGTGATTCGACCGAAACTAATCTCTCACTAATAGCGTGAATACACTTTTTGTTTCTTATATAGAAATACTTTACTAGACCAATATCGGACTGAGAATGAACCGACACCCGCAATATAGTGTGGATCGGGTCTAAGTTCTATAGCAAGAAGATCGAACGAATATTTTTACGACTCCAACGAACGAAGATTTTTACGACTTCGACGATAAATTACATCAATAGAAATAAAATAAGATGAAAAGGATTTTATTAATAAATAGCATAGATTAAATATGTACATCGTAATCTATGGTGCGATCTATATAAAATATTCTTTATATTTATCGCTATAATATCTAACCTACTCAGTCCTCTAAGATATTGGCTATTGCGAAAATGTGTCTATGACGCTTTTCAACGTAAAGTTAGTATTGCATTACTGCCTGACTTTGTAAATGTAATATAATTACACTAAATGAAAGAACCATAAAATAGCTTTTAATGGTCGTGAGGTTCTAGGTTTGCGTTTCGAATCGGGCCAGAGTAGTTGCAGATTTAATTAGTAGGGTTTTTCTTTCTAATAATACTCAGTAGCAGCTCGAAGTTTAGAAATCGGTGATAATTACACAAAGTAATCACCAAAATGGGATTGACCATTCAACCGATATCTGAAAGGAGGACATTATTTTTCTCTTATCTCGTTATCTATACATATAATAAAATTCTAAGTCAAAGACCAAAAACCAAATTCTTAAGTTTTGCATAGTAGTATACTCTTACATTGCAGCTTTTGTATTTTCTCTCAGAAATGAGACGTTTTCCCCCGGTAAAAAGTATCCTAAAAGTTGACCCGGATAACCAGCTATCACCATACCAAATTTCACCAAAATCTCTCCTGTGGTTTTTCCGTGATGCGGTAACAGACAAAAATTCTAAAATCTATAGATTCGGTCTTTGTATCGATAATAATGTGTCAATAAGATTTTCTAAAAAATATCTAATGTACAGATTCGGCTTAGTTACAATTTTATTATAATATGTATATTGACTTTAGTGTCAGGTCTATTCGTATGTAGCGAAAAACAAATGTTTTGTATCTGTGAAAAACAGATGGTTTGTATCTGGCTATTCCAATTCCAGGCCTATTTATGTAACAGCTTTCGGTGCATTTTCAATACATACAATAAACAAACAAATTCTTCATCTATATTATATTATTTAGATTACAAAGTCCATCAATCTGAAGTACACCCAGCACGCATTATAGTTCTTTGTGATATGATTTCATGAACTTTCACGGCTCATTGCCGTATCTGAGGAATCGTCCATTAATCATGTGAGGCTTGAAAAGGGGGGGAGGAGGTTCTGAAAAAATCATTTTTTCATTGAACTTGGTCGTTCGTCGTTTTTCGTTGAATTCAGAAGACTGAAGAAGTTCTCACAGAAGTATAGAATAATATGTTATTGAGGGCCATGACGTCGTAGCAGAGTATGTCGAGCCGGATAAAAGTGCTGAAAGCTTTATTCTAGACCTGCCTTCTCCGCAGTGGTATAGCGAGCATGTGCGAGAGAGCTAGTATTTGCTTCAGTTACTTAATCGCAAATCTTAATGTCTGTCTGGATATTTTTGTCACGATGCATAATTTTCTAGAATTAAATTAGATTATACCTGATTTAAAGTAATATTCTGAAAGTTTTTAAAATACTTTGTACCAAAAAAAATACACGTGGTTTTATATAGGGAGGGAGGGTTAGTCTAAAACCTCATCACATATCACCGGCAGGAGGAGGGAGTTAAAAATTAGCTAAAAAAACACCACGTAATTAATGGACGACCTCTCTAGGAGCTCTTCGGAACTTCTTTCATGCTATTATATTTAAAAAGAATGTTGTCTCAATATATTATTATTTTAAATTAAAATAATAGCTAATTACAATAAATAATAATATGTTCACTAGATTTATATTTTCTTTGAAAACTATACAGAACACTATAGTATACCTACGTAAAAACAAAGCAAGTATTTAATCTGTTATATGTTTTTTATTTGTATCTGTATTCTGGCAAGTGGCATTTTATTTGTATTTAGTTACTATTTAGTCTATGCTGTAGAACTGCGGCGGCATTTATTTGTTGACAGATAGTTTTGCCAAGTTTATTATTTAAAATAAATAGTTTTATAAAATAGTGGCATAATAAAATAAATATATTACATAAAATTCTAGCGTTGTACTTTTAAGAACCATGAGTTTCACATTCGGCCAAGCCACAACAACTACGGGAGGTACTTTCGGTACTAATACTCCCTCAGGTAACGATCATATTTTTATTTCATTAATTACATTAATTAAGTATTTAGATATAAGTTATATGAGAACTAATAAAAATCCATATTTCGAATCCTGAAATCATTATTTTCTATTCAAATCTGAGTTTATTTTCAATTTGACATAACCTTACAAATCAAACTAGACGAATGAATTCACTTTTCTTCCAAAACAGAAGCAACATTATAAACATATCGTTCTACTATGGATACACTAGTGATGAATTTGTCACAGTAGAAAAATAAATGGTATATAGATGTAGTTATTTCCATAAAAGTATAGTTTAACTTTGAGATAACATTTCCAGGCTCGCAATTTGGTGGTGGCGATGCATCAAAATTATATCAATCGGACTCTGGTATCGTGTCCAGCTTGTGTTTTTATTTATTTGATCCTAGTTTACTTTAGAATAGTTTTTGTAATTTTTGTTGTTATAATACTAGCGACTCACCCTCACTTCACTCCGGTTCATCCCTATCCCATTCTCACCCCCTTAAAGGATGATTTCCTGGATAAAAACTATTTCACTCACTTTTCATATCAGGAGATTTAAAAAAAACTTATTTTAATAAAAAAAATCTTTAAATTTTCTTCTATACAAAACTTCCTGACAATAACAAACACAAAAAAAAGAATTATCCAATTTGGTACAGTCTATCTGAAGTTAGCATGTACATACATTTTGGTGATTCATTTTTATTTATATACATAGGTTAAAATGACATTTCATAATACATATTTTGTAATCATTACAGACAATAAACCTAGTTTATTCAGTAATCCTCAAGCTAGTACTCCGGCCTTTGGTGGATTTTCATTTGGAGCTAAAACTACTACTACTGCATCTTCTTCAAGCTTGTGTAAGTAATATTTTTTAACAGTAAAAACTAAAATAGTATTTAAAATACTTCTTCAATATTATCAAGGCATAATATGTAATGATGACTTTGTTTCGTTTACTGTTGATTTAAATAATATTATAAATTATTTAGTTCAATGCATATTTTAATTAATGTTATACATTTAAAATTAAAAATCAATATTAAGTATAAAAATCTACAAATTTCATACACAACATGAAAATAAGTATAAAAATATAAATTTTTGCTAAATTTTTATATTTTTAGTTTCAACACCTAGCACTACTACATCAGCTTTTGGAGCGAGCAAACCATTATCTTTTGGAGGTTTCACATCACCCCCAGTACAAACTGTTGGTTCACCTGGCTTTGGACAATCACCTAACCCTGTAAGTATCATAATTGATTTTTCAAAGAAGTTTATATAGTTACATATATACTCTAGATTCTGAATATAACATAGAATGGAAAGTATAAAAAAATAATAAAAAGGGATGGGACACCTAAATTTTATAATTTTTTTACATATGCTTATTTGTGAATACTATATTTAAAAAAGACAAAGAGTCCCGCTGAAATTCTTTTGTAAAAGTGTAGCTCTTTGGGAAACTGACATATTTTATTCGCAAAATGGTGGTAGTTGCTTTGTTTGTAATAATAATAACATTTAAGCAAGTATAAATAACATTTTTTAGGTTAAGTTATAATTTTTCTTTATTTATCTTTTTGAATGTTGTCTGAATGTATTTGGATAACAGAATGGTAATATGTTAATTTTTAATATTATTCTGCGTTTTTAATATTATGTTTATGTATAATATATAATAAATATTTGCCTAATATAATAAATTTTAATGCCAAGGGAGACTTATGTCTTTAAACTATTTGTCTAAACAGCTGTCATGAAATGAAAAAGATCGTTACATGTAACCTTTACGCACGGTTAAAGTAAAACTTCTTTGGCAAATATGGCAATTAAATCAAAACATTGGCTTTATTTCATATCTTTTTAAAATTGTTTTTTTAACTCAATTGTTTTTTTTTCTGTACAATTTTTTACCCTTATTTTGTAGACGTTTTATTTTCTTTTATATTAGAAGTGCGTTTATGTAATTTTTTGGTCAGTGCTATGGACACCTGTAAGTGACTAAAGTACTAGAACTTGTGTATTAAGAATGAATTTAAAATGTATTTGTGTGTTATGTTGTTGGTGTTCATAATAAATTAAAAAAAAAACTAATCAACAATTAAGTAAGGCATATTTATAGAGTATCATACACGGAAAGAATATAGGATTATATATTTGTCAGACAATAACAATGGTTACCATGGCAACATGGCAATGTATTCTATCTCATTCTCTCGCTGGCTTAATCCTATATATTTGTCTCTTTTTAGTATCGCATTTTCGTTTCATCGAGTTTAAAATCACAACGATTCTAAAGAAGTTTCACTTCAAAAATGTTAACTGTTTTTTACAGGCAAACGCAGCAGATATTAAACCACCTGCATTTGGGGCGACACAACAAAATTCTGCTTTCGGAAGTCCTACAACACAAGGTAACTTTATAAAATATGCTTTAATCCTTACTAATAATAATAAATGCAGTTGTTAATTTGTCGTAAACAAAATGACAACAAAAATGATAATTCCTATTTAGTATAAGATTCTTACTAGTATTAAATATATATTAGATGATTAATTACCAGCAATTTGAAATCTTTATCCGAAATTAATTACCCTGTTTCTGGGATAGTTGGGTAAATACTACAGTATAAAGTAAAAAAAATTGGTCAATGGACAAGTTTTGAGTGAACTAAAACAAAAAAGAACTTATTTTCTTTAATTTCATATTCAATACGCTGCCTGTTGTTTTTTAGTGCTTTTAAACCATAATCACTATTTCAGCACCAGCCTTTAGTTCACCGGGTAATTCTAATCTATCCTTCGGCAAACCTGGAGGTGGTTTCAACTTCACAACCCCTACGTTTGGTGGTTTTGCACAACCGCAACCCACTGCGGTAAGATTGGTTTTATTTCGTTAATTATTTTACCTATTTAAAAAAAAGAAATTGTTTAATATAAATGTTTTTGAAGTGAAAACTTCTATAGGCAGGTTTGGATGGGAAGTAAATTCATGTAAGTCGTTATCGACATGGTCACGTGACGTGTTAACGCTAACGCTCAGAGTGCCGATAGTTGTAAACAGTCTTAATTTACAAATTTTAATTTAATATCAAATAATTTATTTGAATATCCAAAAATAGCAATTATTTTTTTGTAGTACATATTAAGTTTTCAGTTCTGTCGGCAGTCCTCATGACTGCTTATTTTTATCATAACATTTGTAGTTTAATGTTGTACATGTTTTTCTGAAAAAAAAATCGGCATTATCTACAGAACTTGGCATCCATCTCTATTCTTTTGTTGGTGAAGTTGACAACCACGCATATTCTTAATATTGAACTTGGCTGCCATTTACACATTTATGTTTTTGGTGATCCCATCAAATTATTACGTGATTTCATTAGAAAAACAAAATCAGTTTATTAATATAAAATATTTTTTATTTTTATTTCTTTTAACATATTCAGTAGAGAATTTTATTTATTTATTTTCAGACAACAACTACAGCAACTACCACCCAGTCATTTGGTTTAACAGCGAGTCCGCAGAGTAACTTTGGTAATACTGGGTTCGGTGGTAAACCATTTGGCACTGCCACTACTGAAGGTATGTTTGTTTGTTTGTGTGATTGTGTTTGATATTATGTTTGATATGATATGAAACATGTTGTTACTAATTAAATACTTTTAAGAAACAAAATATGTATTTAATTAGTCAATTGGAATATATGGAAAATGAGTTACTATGTAAGTTTTTACATCAAAAAGTAGTATTAACTTCTAGATCGTTCGTCAAATCAGTTCAAACGGACAAACATACACAAATTTATTATTAACAAGAAATGTCCTTGAAATTGTCCTAGTTGTATTACACTGCTGAAGCATTATGGCAATTATTTCAGTATACGTTATCATAAGTATGTTTTAGTTACCTTGAATTATATGATCATAAATCTAATGCATAATTAGTAGACTTGCAAGTTGCAACGAAGCTATTATTCGGTATTCGGCTACTTTTGTCCTATTTGGCCGAATACCGAATATTTAGATACTTTTTAGCCGAATACCGGATACTTAGTAATATCTTTGTTATAATCGGGTAATTGGTATAATGAAAATATTGATTTATTTTATAATATATTTTTCTCATTAATTAAAGTAAAATAAAAATAGTAATAGGTAACCGGTCAAAAAAGTACTAGATACACAATTCCATGTAAAAATTCTCTTAAAACTGTAATCGTCAATTGTGTTTAGGTAATTATTCTAGTTCAAAGCAGAAAACAAACAATCTAAATTGAACCTTAAATGCAATGCTTAAAGTTGTTTTCAAAAAAAAATATTAAGAGCGCGCTCAAATAATGTTCAAATGAGCACTCATTTGGTAAGGACATTTTTTGTCACTGATTGTGTGTCTAGTCCTTTTTTGATCGATGTAATAGGCACGATGTATAACATTTGAACAAATTACTTCTTTAAAATGAGCAAAAAACAAACACGTCGATATAAGATTTTCCTCTAACTTTGATTTTTTGATTACTTTTGCCTAATATTCAGCAGCTATTCGGCCAGAAAGACCAAAGAATATTCGGCATTCGGCGTATGGCCGCATATACTATTCGTTGCAAGTCTAATAAGTAGATGCAAATATATAATTGAAAAAAAAACACATTCTCCTAATTTAGAACTAAATTAGTATTCATATTTTAAATAAAACCTATCTTTTCAGATGTTTTCGTGGATTCATATTAATTTTTAGTTACCAACAATCATGGTCGTGGGAGTCTCTTCCGCCACCATGTTTTATTTAAATCTATAAAATAATATTCACATTAATCTGAGAAAGTACTGAATTAATATTTTCAGCTCCCGCATTTGGAACGACAACATCTTCATCTGGATTTTCCTTCGGGCAAACACAAAGTACACCTCAAACCCAGTTGCAAACTCAAAATGCGCAAAATCAATCCTTCCCATTTTCAAGTCAAAATCAAACTCCAGCTTTTGGAACTCAAACAACTCAATCCTTGAGTTTTGGTCAACCAACTCAAGCAAATCAAACGTCAGCTTTTTCTGCTCAACCCACTCAAGCAAATCAAACGTCAGCTTTTTCTGCTCAACCTACTCAATCAAATCAAACATCGGCTTTTTCTGCTCAACCCACTCAAGCTCAAACGACAGGTTTTGGTCAAACAACAACTCAACCAAATTTTATGACTCAAACAACTCAAGCCACAGGCTTTGGTACAAGTCAGCCACAAACAACTCAAAGTTTCGGCTCGACTCAAGCACTTAATTTCTCCAAACCTCAAACCAGTCAACCAATTAGTTTTGGAGGTCAAACTCAAACCCAAACTCCAGCTTTCGGGCAAACTCAAACAAGTCAGCCTTCGTTCGGCTCAACTCAAGCAAGTTTGAGTTTTGGAACTTCACCTCAACCAACATCCACTTTTGGTACAACAACTCAACAAAACCAGACTACTAGTTTCGGGACAACTCAACCGACGTCAACTTTTGGTGCAACAACTCAACCAACTTCAAGCTTTGGCCCAACTCAAATTACTCAAGCAAACTTAAGTTTTGGCACAACTCAAGCTACCACAGCGGGTTTGAGTTTTGGCACAACAACTCAAAGTCAGTCCAACTTAAGTTTTGGAACTTCTACGGCTCAACCGACTTCAAGTTTTGGCACAACTTCAACTTTGAGTTTTGGTGGGAATCAAACGAGTCAAGCGAGTACTGTACCAAGCACTACTCAAAGTGGATTCGGATTTGGAACTACATCAACTACAACAAGTTTCAGTTTGAATTCTGGACTATCGTTTGGTAAAACTACTTCTACTACCGCTGCTACAAGTAAGTATTATTATATCTCATTAACTTAAGACTGTTATTATAAGTGTGAAAGTTTGTATGTATGTATGTTTGTTTGTTACTCCTTCACGCTGTAACGGCTGGACGGAAGTAAACATATAGACTATGGATTAGTACTTAACATACTTTAATACATACACTTAGCGAGCAAAGCCTAGCCTTACTTACAATAGTAAGTAAGGCTAGGGTAAATAATAATAATTTCATTTAAATAGTTTTATGGTTTATAGTTTAAAAAAAGTTTGTATATTGTTTCTTCAATCCATTGGGGAAGAATTTTGCTTTTGATATTCACCTGTAGATGATTTGAAAGTTGTCATTTTAATTAAATTGTAAATATACATAATAAACTTTTACAATATACTGCGGATCATAGTGATTGCGTCATCTGGCGGAAGAAAATGGCAAAATTCTTCCCCATTCTAGTTTATGGGTCATGATGTTTTTTTAAATTTGTTTTTTGCCAATAGTAACAGTGTCAGATAGTAAATATAAACATTGAATATATTATTTATTGGTGAAATTTTTGTAAATATTAACTTACCCTCGTTTTAATCGGGTGCATCCCTAGAAATATTATATATAGTAGATGTAAGTAGTTGTTGTGAGAGAGGCTTTTTTAAGTCCCACAATTTTCTAGTACATCGCATTGATGTAACTCTAAAGACTACAAATTATATACACAAACATTCTTCGTTTATCTCTCTTTCTATTAGTGACAACCGTATCAATATCCGTTGCTTGGTTTAGAAGTAAGCGGGGAAACAGACAGACGCAAACAGCGACTTTATACTAGCGACTCACCCTCGCTTCGCTCGGGTTCGTCCCTAGCTTGCTTCCACATACAAACTTTCATCTCCTTAAAGGATGATTTCCGGGATAAAAAGTATCTTATGTCCTTCCCAGGGTCGCAAACTATCTTCTTAACAAATTTTATCTAAATCTGTTCAGTAGATCCAGATATTACCCCCTACAACGTTATAAACTTACCAACTTTACCTCTATAATATTAGTATGTATAGATAAATTGATACTAATTATTATATATTGTGTATGCAAATCTGACTTTAATTTACTGTAACCTTAAATACAAATTAATATTCGATGTATAATAATAATTTATTATTAGGACAATAAATCTCGTCCAAATCCGTCCAGCCGTTTTAGTATTAAAGAGTGACAAACAAACATATGTACATACTTTCACGTATATATATGTAAGTTTAAGGTTTAGTATAGATTTCTCAGAGATGAGATATTTTACCGCAGTAAAAAGTATCTAAATATTGACCCAGATAACCAGCTGTCATCATACCAAATTTCATTAAAATCTGTCCAGTGATATTCTCGTGAAGCATTCCCAGACAGACAAACAAAAATTCCAAAAACTATAGATTCGGCCTCTGTATCGATATTAATGACTATTTCAATAAGATTTTCCAAATAATATTTAATGTACATATTTCGAATCAGAATTTTATTATATGTGTATAATTTCCAGCATCCTCAACAGCCCCGTCCGGTATCACAGCTTTGGGAAAGTCTACTGCAATGGCCTCCTTGACCACCACTACCACGTAAGTGTTGAACTTATTGTTAAATATAATATGTATGTACCTATTTGTATTGTAACTGCAAAATGATGCTATTTTTATTTATATTTGAAATATATTCTTCCTAATTTAATGTTATATAATTAGCAACTTATACTCCCTTCGCTCGGTTTGGGTGGGTCCCTAAGTATGTTTTAATTTTTTTGAACGGAACCATAATTCTTTTTCTAAAATAAAAGTAGCCTAAGTTAGTCCTTATAACATCAACTATCTGCCAGTAACAGTTCTATCAAAATCGGTTCAGCCGCTTCGGAGATTAGCCGAAACAGACAGACCGACGCAAACAAACATTTTTTTTAAATATATTTTTTTCTTATAAGTACCAATTAGATAATTTCATAAGCATTTAGTAAAAAGCTGTTATTTTCACATTACAAACAAACACTTCAATTTTATATATCTATATAGATAAATAAATGAATATGTGCTTTTTTAGCACAACAGCATCTGGACCACCGGCAGCGTTATCATCAATAACATTTGCACAACTGGAAGAGAATATAAACAAATGGAGTTTAGAACTGAACGAGCAAGAGAGCAATTTTATAAAGCAGGCTACAATGATCAACGCTTGGGATAGATTACTTGTTGCTAATGGAGAAAAGGTAAATGTCAAATATATCTATCTACACAAGCAGAACCCGCGGCTTCGCTCGTTCTGAAACTACAAAAAAAATCTCTTAAGGTAAATCTCTAAAGGTAGTTTCATACACTCATTCATCCCCTACTTTACCCCCTCTTATGATGAATTTCGAAAAATGCTAAAACACGTATTTATTTAATTTAATTATTGGAGAGCATTAATACCAAGTTTCAAGTAATTCGGATCATAAATATTTTTTTAAATTGTATTATAATGTGTTTTTCCGTGGGAATTAGATAACATCCCGCGGTAAAAAGTTGTCTATATCACTCTCCAGCCCTCCAATTATCTCCGTACAAAAAATCACGCCAATCCGTCACTCCGTTTCGACGTGAAATAAAGACAAACAAACGAACACACTTTAACATTTATAATATAAGGATATATTAAATATAAGGATAAATAAAAAGGCGTAAAAGGTAAATTAAATCTGAACAATTGACGAAGGAACGTAGTTTAATGCATTCGGATATATATACGACGACACGTTTGGCTCAGTTTGTAGTAACCCTACTTGCTGTGGCAGCATAACACGAGCCTCATAACTTACCATGGAACTAGATAGAGAGGAATGGATTTATGGTTCTGAAAGATAGTTTTATTTAAAATTGTTATGTAATTTTCTTTGTTATTAGATTTTAAATCATTTTTGATTACTTAACTCCAAAGCAATTTATAATTTGAATAAACAATTACTTACAGATCCTTGAGTTAAACGATGCAGTGGAAGCAGTCAAAAATGAACAAACCAGTTTAGAACACGAGTTAGATTTTATTTTAGCGCAACAAAAGGAATTAGAGGAGTTATTAAAGCCCTTGGAAAAACAACTGTTGGAAGATACCGGTGATAGAATGAGAGATCCTGAAAGGGAGCATATGTATGTAGAAATTCATCTTTGTAATATTATAAATGTATGTTTGTTTGTCCTCCGTTAATGCAGTGATGGGTTGTTTTTGACCGTGTACAATAGGAACTGACTGACTGACTACTCATTTTATGTGTATATTTTGAGTGTATGTTATGTGGTTTCTTTGCATGTTAAATGATCCTGAACTGGTTTTAATACTATTTTTTAGGGTTCTGTACGCAAAGGGCTAAAACACTTAGCCTCTACTGTCTACTTGTCTGTTTGTCAGAGGGCTGTAACTCATGAACCGTAATAGGTAGAGAGTTGAAATTTTCGCAGTGTGTATTTCTTTTGCCGCTATAACAACAAATAATAACATAGATGGTGAATTTAAAAATGGCCGCCATGCAATTTAAAACAAGAATTTGATTATGCTGGTATTGGTCAACGTGTTCAATCCTATTAATAATATACATAGTGTTATATCTAGTACGATGTTACGGAGCCCTTCGGGTGCGAGTCCGACTCGCACTTGACCGGCATTTTTATTTAATTTGAGTTTGTTACACGATATTTTCTCCATTTTTACTTATTTTCTTTAATTTTAAGTTTGGTGCAATCTGTAGGTTTGTATGGTAGTAATATATCTCAAACAAATTCCGTTCCTAAGTGGAATTATTATTTTTAAGACAATTTTGAACATGGAATGCTTTTTTAATCAAGCAATTATTTTATAGGTATACTTTAGCAGAAACATTAGATACTCAACTACGGCAAATGTCCGAGGATTTGAAGGAAGTCATTGAACACATTAATGAGACAAACAGAAGTCAAGACAGCAATGATCCTGTAAGTATAGAAAAAAAAACGCCATTTTTTAATATGATTTTATTATCATTATGTTAGGTCTATTTATTTAAACGGTTCAGGCAGTGGTAGCCCTATAATAATGTGCTCGCATGAGAAGCGCGTGTGAAGCGGGTTCAAATCCCTGGTCTCGCACCTCTGATATTTTCATGTGCGTATCATTTCTAACATGATTACCACTTGCCTTACGGTGAAGTCAAACATCGGAAAACGGCATGTCTGAGAACCTAGCAAGTTTTCGAAAGACATGAAATCTACACCCACTTGTCCAGCGTGGAATTTGGCCTGATCCTCGTATTGAAAGGAGGCCCACTAGTAGGACGTTGAAGGGCTGATATATTTATCTAATGCAAAACAATACCTCGTTACAGATAGTGCAAATCGGACGTATACTCAGCGCTCACATGTCGTCCATGCAGTGGGTTGAAAGCGGGGCCGCTCATATCGCAGCGGCTTTACATTCATTGCAAGATGAAACGAGGGCATTAAAACAACGCAGTGAGGCTGCATTCCAACGTGCGTATCACTAGATGGACCATGGACCGGCATGGACCACACGGTGTATATCGAGCCTGTGGATAAGTGTGGACCGTTTATATAGTTTAGAGTTGTGGACCGTATGATACAAGTCGAGCTGTGTGGCTAGTGTGGTGGAAAAAAATGATGATGTACTTTAAAAACTCTTTTTTAAGCATAAAGCACAAATATATTTACAACTAGCGACTTACCCTCACTTCGATCGGGTTCGTCTCTAGGTACGTTTTCATTTTTTTGAACGGGACCCTAATTCTTATTCTAGAATAAAAGTGGCCTAAGTTACTCCATATAATACCAGCTATCTGGCAGAGAAAGTCCCGTCAAAATAAGTCCAGCTGTTTTGAAGATTAGCCAGAACAGACTGATAGACAAAATTTTTAAAAATTGTGTTTTTCTGTACCGTATATATTTTTTATATGCATTTGGTAAAAAGCTGTTATTTTGTAATTACAAACAGACACTTCAATTTTATTTGTCTGTATAAATTTGTGTATTAAAAATAATTTAGAATAACAAATTAATCTTGTTTCCATCTAATACGAAATTCTTTTGTAACTTAATTTTTTTACAGTATTCAAGTTTAACATAGAAATAGCGAGATTGTAACGAGTATCCATTAAATACATTTATCAGCGTGTTTTTTGTTGTAAAAAAGATACGTGTTTCTATGTACAATGTCAGTCACTACTTAAGCCGCGTTCTGCTTTGACAAAGTAGCTTCAATCAAAATTTACTTGGATACCTATTGACACGCTCGATGTCTGCTTTGACAAAAAGCTTTGAAACAAAGTTCTCTTTGGATAAAAGTCCACTTTGATTGAACGCCAACGTCAAAGTGCTCTTTGATTACTCGTTTATACGATCAAAGTAGTGATCAAAACTACTTTTCTCATAGCAGGCTTTGAGAAAAGTAGAACACGGTCCAAGTTCACTTTAAGGTCCATATCAAAGTGCGCGTTAATTACTCGTTTACATGATCAAAGTAGACTTTGATCGTGTCAATGTGGCTTTTAAGTACCTAATAAACAAGTTTGGTCTGTCTGTTTATTAAATTAAACTGTAAGTTTGTAATATTAATAGCTCTATACTAAGCTTTTTTGTATCTGTGACAGTTTTTTTTTATTTGAGAATACTGTTTTTTTTTATTTGAGAATAGTGTTTTTTTTTATTTCATGTTAGAAGGAAATTTCACATACAAGTATTCTAATTTAATTAATATCTTCTTTTCATGTAATAAATTTTGAAAACAAAATAGAAGAAATGTTTCCATATTTATGGCTCCTTTGTTATGTCAATGGTCAAATTAATTAAAGTTTAATTGAATTTAAATAAATAATATGTTTAATATTTGTTATTTTATTTTTTCCGAAGACATTTTTTGGGAAGAATATCAGGTTTTTGGTTAATTAAATTTAAAAACCAAGTGAAAATGAAAAGTGCAAAAGACTTTTGCGAAGGATAATGTCTTAGAATATCAGATTTGGATGGAATTTTTAGATGCATTTACTGTAATCTATAATATACATAAAACAAAGTCGGGTTTGTTACAACACTTATAAATCGAGTACTGCTGGACCGATTTTTATGATCCTTGATTTATTGGATTTGTCTTTACACCGAATAGCAGAATAACTATTAAAACATCGGAAAAATTCACAAAAAAATATATTCTATACTAAGTGTCCCTAAAACCCTGAGCGAAGCGAGAATGAGTCGCTAGTATATTATGTAAAACCTTACATTTTATATTTGGAATTCTAGGTGCAATAGTTTTGGGAGTTAGGAATAATTCAGATTTTCATATGTTTCCATTAACTTTTAATGTATACAATCATAATAAATAAAAACATTTTATTACATTTGGAATATTCCTAATTAAAATTTACAACAAGGCTGTAAAAATAAGTATTATTCAAAAAAAATTTTCAGAATCAAACCTACTGAAAAAAATAAAAGATATCAAATTTAAAAAAAATCCTTTGAAGAGTTTAAACACAATAATTATATTCTAAATGTGAAAGATTGAGTATTCGATAGTTCTCCACAATAATTGTTAATAATTAGTGTATTTTTTTTTATATTTATGTTCGTATCTAGTATAATACATATTCCAGTTTTAGGCATGAGCTACTAAAAATAAAACAACAAATTAAATAAAACTATCTTTTCGAGCCAAAAACCATGAGTCTCACGTGACCATGATTTCTGTTAAAGCATTTGAAACATCAGGAACCATTCCAACATCCGAAATGATAGTTTCATTTAAAATGCCAAATATTAAATACAAAAACTAAAATATTACATAAAAAATGAACCATTATTTAATACTTTTTCTTAAAATCTCATATAAAATCAGTCAAATATAATGAGCAAAAAAATCTTATTTAATCAAGTTCATTTATATATTTTTAAAACACAATACCACCAATAAAACACTGCAATTTCACATTTTCTTCAGTCTCGAGACACAAAATCACTAATCTCTTATGCACAATACTGCATATAGTTCTATTGTGAGATATGTTATCGGCACTTAGGAACATTGAGAACTTCTTGGCATCTACTCGGCAATAGCAAAGTTTGGATAAATCCTCATTTGCTTGGGTCTCTGTTTCTGAATCTGAATGATCGATGGGACCTGTAATTATTATGATTATAATATTTGATATTAAGTATCTATTAAAAGTAATTTTTAAGTCTTTTCTCAAAATATAAAAACTCCAAATATATAATATTGCTAGTCAGTATTTTCTGTATATTTAAAATAGTTGTCTAATATTAAACTCAAACAATCATTAAAAATTTTGTCTGTTTGTTCGTACTTTAATAACAATTTAAGGAAATGTTACATTTTTTCCTTTTCATCCAAGATTAGAGAAGGGTCAAATACTAGTTTCAGCTATCTCATAAGAAGATTTACTAAATAGTAATAAATATCAAATATGATATTATTTATTAACTATTGGCTACATATAGCATATAGCATTATATTCTATGACTAACTCTCACTTAGCTTTGGGTACATCCCTAGGCAAAAACAAATCCCATAGGAACTATACATTTTTCCAAGATTATATATAGGTTATAGCCTTCCTTTTAAAAATCAAATTAGTAGTTCCTGAGATTAGCGTGTTCAAATAACAAACTCTGCCTCTTTATAATATCAGAGTAAATTTTATCAATTTAAAAAGTATGCTAAACTCAAATAAATTTTTGCCAAATTAAAAAAAAAGAAATGATTTCTGACCTCAAAATAAAAATAAAAAAAATTTAAAAATAGATTCATTTTTACAGAGAGGATGTTATCTTAAAAACAGATGTACAATAACAAAAAAATAATTAAATATTGATTCAAAAAAAAACAATCAACAACCTTCAAAAGCTTCAACTCTTAAATTTTTAAACCTTGTTGATACTTTAGCCATATCAGTTTTTATTTGTAATGTCAACCTTCCTTCTGCCGAGGCTCTGATTACAACTTCCGATGCCATTGCTCTCATTCTATCTATTGTTGTACGTAATTGTTTTAATGATGGTAGCTCTATTGATATCTGTAATAAAAATATTAAATAAAGAATACATCACTTATAAATAAAAATAACTATTATACATATATCAAATTTACAAATATATCCAATGTATTATATTTTCAAAATCTTTTTGAGTTGATTTTGATTTTGCATTCAAAACAATCGCAAACATGGGAGATAAAATAAGCCCATATGTACATTAAATATTATTTTTTACAACAAAAATAAAACTTACATCAGGTTGTGGTATTCTAGGTTCATGAAATTCATTCCATAGCTTTCTAGGTACAACTACAACAGGAATGTCATGTGTTACTTGCCTTGTTTGCTGAGTTATTGTAGATGACTAAAAATTGTTAAGTTTAATTTAAATATAAGTCAATTTCAAAAATAAGTACAGTTTTAATTTATAACAGGTAAGCAAATTGAGAAATATATTCTTACATAATTAAAAATATAAAAAACTAAACAAAATTGTACAGACCATTTCAATTTCAAATGTTAAACATGGACATTGCTTTTTAGTGAGTTTCATTTTTAAGGATTTAGCAGTCTTCAATGTCACTAGCGACCTTGCCAAATTTGCTGAAAATGTAGGTAATATTTACACATTATAAAATTTTTTTAGTAAAATCCATCGATATACATATTGACAGCACTTACCTGAAACGATGCCAAGATAGATATCTTTATGTTCATCATCAATGCCTATCATTTGATAATCAGAAAAGAAAACAGCTGGAGACATCTCACACCAAAGCACAGGAGGTACAGGTCCACTATTGTCTTCGCATACAATAAAATACAACTTATCATCTGATAGCCTTAATACACACTCCTTGGATAATTTGGATATAGTGGTTACTATATCTGAAAATATTTTGTAATATAAATTTATTGAAATTTTAATGCAACAAAATGTAAGTATTTATTACAATTACATACTTGAAAATTCCCTCATAGGGCCGGTATCAACCATAACTGCACGGAATTTCATTTTGAATATTATGACAGAAATTCAAGCTATCTTTAAACTTTATCTTATAAATTTTAAAGTAAACACACTGCACACAGTATTCACAAATTCGCGCGATATGCTTATCTTTCAAAATATTTTTTTTTCTTTTTTTGTCTATGGCATATTGTTCGGAAATGGGGAAGATTTCTAGAAAAGAGTGCGCCACGCGTATAGCCTATTTACATTCAGTCTGAGTTTAGGAAATTTATTGCTATATCAGCTCTGTTATACCTTGTTTTTACTTCTATTGTGTTCACATCTTACCTTTGCATCTGTATTGTACCTGGAAGTTGACCAGCTGAAGATAGAATTGAGAAGGAAAGTTGCATCCTGCGGTGTTCCTGACTGACTGATGGATCAACACACAGCCTAAACTGGTAGTCGTAGAAAAGTGAAATTTGGAGAACGTATTTGTTATATGATAAGAAGGGATTTTTCGAAATCGGTGCCCGCCCATATAAAGCAAAACACACCGACTTTGAAAATATTTGATTAAGTATGTATAGTAAATGAAAACTACCAATCAGTTATTTGTTACTTTTTAGTGCTTTTGTTTGAAGTCGGTTTTTATTTTTTTGTTAAAAAGTTTTTATTAATATCCCACTACTGGGCACGGGCCTCCCTTCAATTGGCGATCAATCCCTTGGCGGACTTCACATGTCTTTCGAAAACTTGCTAGGTTCTCTCAGACATGCAGGTTTCCGTAAGGCAGGTGGTAATCATGTTAGAAATGATTCACACCGGGGTTTATATCCGCTTCACTCGGTTTCCCAAGCGAGCGCGTCACCACTGGGCTACCACTGCCTTTTTTAAGTTATACATATAATAAAATTCTGAGTCGAATCTGTACATTATATATTTTTTTGGAAAATCTCATTGAATTAGTCACTATTATTAATACAGAGGCCGAATTTATAGTTATTAGAATTTTTGTCTGTCTATCTGTCGGTCTGTGACCGTATCACGAGAAAACCACTCGACAAATTTTGATGAAATTTGGCATGATGATAGCTGGTTATCTGGGTCAACATATAGGATACTTTTTACTGCGAGTAAATAAATAAGACATTACCCCCACTCTGAGAAATCTAAACATATTATAAAATTGTAACTAAGCCGAATCTGTACATTAAATATTTAATGGAAAATCTTATTGAATTAGACATTATTATCGATACAGAGGCCGAATTTATAGTGTTTAGAATTTTTGTCTGTTTGTTACCGCATCACGGAAAAACCACTGGAGGGATTTTGATGAAATTTGATATGATGATAGCTGGTTATCCGGAATATCAACACATAGGATACTTTTTACAGCGGGAAAATATCTCATCTCTAAGAAATCGATACTAAACGTTAAAACGTAACTAAAGACGAACCTAAGCGGAGCGAGGGTGAGTCCCTAGTATGTTAATGAAACCGTCGCGTCGTGCCTTTTTTTTAATGTTGGGAAATGCATTTACGCATACTACGTGTAAAAAAAAGATTTTGGTATAATTCAATTTTATTATTTTATAATAAATATATTTTTTTTTCATATGACAACATCATTTACAGCCATAGACGAAAATACCGTATTTCCTGCGCAAGTATGGCGCTTGACATATCTGGCATACTGATAAGTTTATTTACACTGGCTTTTACTATCTCTTTCTAACTTTGGTAGATTTTGAATGGAATGATAAAGATATACGATGTCCTCTTTTGATTGTAACGAATATTAACGAATTGTGGTTATTTTACTTCAAGATTTTATTTATTTTTCTAAATTATTGTGCAATTTTAGTTAATATATTAGCAAATACTATTTATTTATTGCCTATTATTTTAATATATACCTTCCTATAAATGAGAAAATTCTTATAAGAAGAGAATATATGGAGAATAATGCTAAGTCAAGGTATGTGTACAAATATACGATCGATAATTTCATCATGTCATAACCAAATAAACTTCCTCGTTTATTTCTTGCTGTGATTATCGATACGAATAAGTTAAAAAATGTGTTCTGTCTTTAAAGTGGTAAAGTTTTAAAATAAGGGTATATAAAAGAAAAATTACCACGCTACAAGTGTCAATTCGGAATCCAAATCAAGGATCACCGTTGTTAACGTTTTTCCTTCGAATTCGATCTTCAAATATTTAACGGACTTATGTTTTGAAAGGTGATTTTTAATGTTGACAATATGATGATGTTTACTAAAAATTATTACGACCGTCCTGTTTCGTATTAACTACGTGTTACGTTTTCCTGCATGACCTATTCATAGCGATCGTATACATAGTAATAAGTTCAATGTCGTCCATGATTATGTAACTCAATGACAGTTTCAATTTCATATAAACTCCTTTAATATTCTATATAACAGTTAATAAGCCCGTATTACTCATTTTTTAGAGATCTACACAGAACTAAGTCCGCATTTCAGAAAGTGAGGTTATGTCGCTTGCAAGAAGATTATTTTTAAACATTTGGTAAACATCGATGGATCGTGCATTTGCTAATGTACTTTTGCATTTCCAGCACAATAATACATTTAATACAAATTGATATATTTAATTCAATCATTAAAAGAAAAAACATATTTTATATTACTTACAACGTAATCGCTTGACGATGTTTGAAATTAAAAGTTACTTCATTCGATTATTTCTTGAGCGAAACAAATTGAGAATTAATTATAATATGAATTATTTAACAATTATTAAACAAACTCTTCGCTGTATATATAAATAATTACATACTATTTTTAAGCGAACTAAGACAATATTAACAGTTAATTATTTATAGCTGTTGTGCTACAAAATTTTGTCTTTACATAAGTATATAACACATATTCCCTCCACGACTGCGGACACGCCAGCGTTACAGTTAACAAAGATTTCTTAGAAATTTAATTAATTTCTTAGAAATTTACCTGGTGTTGGTTTTTCTAGGAAGTAATCTAAAACTGGTTGTTTAAACACTTAATTTATATTGAGAAATACTTAGAAAAATAAAGAGAAATAGTACAAAATAATAAAATATACTAGTAATAGTACATTTAAATACTGTTAAGAAGGACTTGAAATTACACCTTTTTAAAATGATACGTGATTTTTATGACCCGAAGTCATCACTCCTTTTATATCTCTTGAATGTATAATAAATTAATACTAGGTATTTCTCTTTTTTTTCAATTTGACAGCCGATATGTGGTTTTTAACTAGAAATTCTTATTGTGTTTTACCAGAATAGTTTTACCAGAATTAGTTTTTACTAAAAATACTTTAGAAGGCTTAAGAATAAGTGCCCATCAATAAGAAATTGAAATTATTTTTTATTTTTATAAATTGTATAGGTATATGTCGCAGGAAAATTGTACTTAACATGCGTTAAATTATAATTTCGAATTTACCTCCTTCGCTTGCAATATCATGGGACAATTTTAGGTAAATTATAATTTCACTAAGCACATTCAGTGAAATTGTGAATCCGTCACTGATTGGTCAGATTTAGACACCTTTTTTGATGCGCAGCGTTACCTATAGACTTATTATTATTATTAATTCCTTATTACATCAAAAACAACTTAGTAAAATAAAGAAATAGAAAAGTAATATTTTTAATTGTTATTTAAGTACTTAGTTAACAAAAAAAAATGTCAACTTGCGATACATAGGTATATTTAATAAAATATGGTAATAGTTTTCATTTGGAATTATTAGCGTAAAAACAGTTTGCCGCATCACTATTAAGTTTTTTTCTTTGCCCATTCAAAATATTACATTTATTTTTATAGGTTCTGGGTGTAAAGAAAAGACCTAACGAGAAGGCGAAAGCTAGATTTCGCTCCAGTCTTAACGTTCTCAACCTACGTTATCCAAATCGTATCTGTCACGTAATTGAAAATTACAAATAAATAATCTCAAATAAAAAAAAATAGTCTTATTTAATTTCTATACATATGAATATCTTAACACGGATTGTTTCTTGTAGAAGTTATAGTACTTTCTTGGCTCCATGCCGAAATTACGTTTTTGGTTTTAAAACGTTTTGATTGATCGATTAACTGTGATCAGTGACCGAGGCTTTCCACCAAATCCTGGAAGCTAATATTGACAATTTACCTAGGGTAATTACAATTTCACTGAATGTCCCGAATGAAATTATAATTTACCTAAACCCCCATATTTAATTTTTTTTTATGTCACCTATCTAAGAACACTTGGACTAATGAGACGAATCCAACGATACCTTAATTAAAGAAATCCATTAATGGTTTGGAAGATATGAGGGAATAAAGAATATTACAAACAAACATACAAAGATAGGCGCGAAAAACATAACTCTTTCCTTACAGTCAGGAAAAAATACACCCATAACGCCCATATTATTTTACAATTTTTAACTGCGATAAATATTATTTCCATCGACACTACCGTTGGTTTACGAGATAAGAATTTCGTATAGAATCGTACGTACAACTTGTTCCATTATAGTACATATTCTATTTGAGTTGCGTTTAAGCCAATTTCTCCGTACGAATTCCTGTTTATGGAACTTACTAATATAATTAATAAGTACCTACAGGATAATGTGGACAGCTTCTATGGTTGTTCATGTATTACGCTGCCATCGTGATTGTCACATTTATGTAAAGAAAAAAAAACAATACAAATATAAATTGGGAAACTTATTAAATGAGCGACTGAAAAATTCGTTGTCAATTAATAACGGCATGGTATAAACCTTACATGAGCAAGATTCTATAGTTTTTACGAAAAATTTACTAAACCGGCTGTAAGTGTGAATTAATCAATTAATAAAATGAAATTTTGGAATGCTAAGTCATTCATATGAAAATTGAAAATAAAGTTTTAAAAGGGATGCAAATGCGGCAAATAAATACATTCATTATAGGTATTATGTTAGAAAAAATATATAAAAAATAATAATCGAATAACTGTTATTCGCGTGCCATCTATCGCGCATTAGTAGAATTAATAAATCACGAAAGTGTATATAACAACTCAATGTTTTTTATACGCAAACAAGACCAAAAAATTCTTTGCAATTACATATATAGTTTAGCCATTTATATACATTACGAACAAATATATATTACTTAAAAAAATATTTATAATATGAAAATTGAAATTAATTTGTGATGTAGGATCGCAATGGATTCTGGTGTACAATCAGTCACACAAAAGTCATTACACTTCGCAATCTGATAAAAATAATGTAATAAGGTATTTTTGATCAACTTAAAGAAAGGAAGTACCTACTAATTACCAATCTCATACCGATTTTCACTCTTCGACTCTTTTTGAAGAAGAATGGCTTTTTTATTATGCCTAAAGGGTTGATTTGTACATATGTATGTCACGGAATAATTCCTCTCCTAAGGGTAGTGCAATATTTGTAGCGATTTTTAATAAATAGTACTACTTTAGTTAAAAAGTAATTATCCGTATTTCTGTGAGTTTATAGAGCTTAATTTTGTAAGTTAATATGGCTGCACGTGTGGAAAATTCAAAAATATAATGCTTTTTAAAATGATAAATATACTAGCGACTCAACCTCGCTTCACTCGGGTTCGTCCCTAGGTTGATTCCTCATACAAACTTTCATCCCAATTTTCGCCCCCTTGAGGGATGAATTCCGGGATAAAAAATATCCTAGGTCCTTCCCAAGGTCTCATACTATCTTCTTACCAAATTTCATCTAAATCGGTTCAGTAGATCCAGAGATTACCCTCTACAACATCACAAACTCACAAAACTTTATAATAATAATAGGTATAGATTATTGTTTATCAATCATTGTCTTAAGGATTGCAGTATTAACAGCTAGTCATTAACTTAGTTATTCAGTAATATGTACACATGATTCAATTGAATTGAATATATATTATTTATTTAAATAATACCTTATAATATTTAACATGCCTAACAAATAAGGCTACATTTAAACTGAAAAATCAATAAAAGTTAAGCTAAGTTCCGTTAAAATACTATTTCAATCTTCAATAAACCTTTAAACTAACTTATCTAAAGTTTTATTTTAGGATGGATCAAGAAGGTGCCAAATCGTTCATGCAGTTACAAATTGAAAAATTAAAAGCTCTACGAGCAAAACTGTCTACTGAGGCTGACGAGGATTACGTTATTATAAAGGAAGAACAGTAAGTACTTTTTATACTATAAATGTCTATTTATATTTTATATATTACAATGTGTATTACGATGTAAATTTGATGCGTTGAAGATGATAGCCTATACAATATACATTATACGTACGTGATACGTAAATAATAAATTAGTAAACGGAACAGCTTTCCAAATGAAAGGTTTTTTAAAGAATTAGTCAAGTACCTAGTCAATTTTGGACCAAATCTAGGCACACGGGCTCTTATTTACTCGCAAAAAGCTGAATAGACTTAAAACTTTAGATAAACTTTTAAGTTTACCTACCTGTTAAAAAATTATAGGTTATTGGCGACAACGCTAAACAATAAAAATACACGTTTTACTATGTTGTTTTTAACGTTCTATTTTTGATTTAAATGAAAAAGGTTTAAACTTAAAATTTAAAGTATGAAATTATTTGAATAGTGAGCAAGTTTTTGAAATAAAAATGTTAAATTATTTATGCCCCAAATTATTTAATTAACGTCACAGAAATTATTGTCGAACTTGACGGAGAATTTAAAAATATAAACCAAGTAGTCAAACTTGTCGTCGCACGACAAAAAGTTTGTTATCTTAAACCTGGAAGTGGTCTATCCGGTGTATGGTTGCACTGAGCTTATGTCATTATGTACCAATAATTTTAAAAACCAATATTTATTATTAATATTAATTTACAATAACTAATCACATATTAATTCAAGAATTTTAAAGGTACATATTTTTCATATACTTATGTCCTCACAATTCAGAACAAACTGTATTCTGAGCTTTATGTCATTAGCCATTACTTATTAATTCATCTGAAATATGTTTTTTATTGTATGGTCCGTCTACCAAATACGAAAATATTCGAATAGTAAATTATAATGAAACGAATGGTAACTACTAACTATTAAGTTAGGAATTCGCGGCCATTATAGCGACCCAGGGCGAGCCGGGTGGGACAACCATGCCGGTCCCGCACTAACCGCGCCCCGTCGTTTTCGTTCACTGTTCAGTCAGTCCGGCTCCGCACGCGTTACGGCCGTGATTCGTCGTGCTCGCGTCAAGAAAATTAAAAATTAAAAAAAAAATTTGTTGTCTATTCCTTTTATTTTGGCGGTATATATTATTAAGAAATTGTCAAAGTAATGTTTGCGTGATTTTATTTGATGAAAGTGAAAAAGTTCTATGTTAAGTATGTTTTGTAACAATGATCCTAAGGTCAAGTTATGATAAGGGTGGTTAATTTCGTCATACGCTTTCTAATTAGTGTGTAAGCGATGCAATATCAAAGTAATGAAGAGGACGACTTGCAATATCAGATTTTTGGAGAATCCTTCAACTTTCCTGTCGAGAGTAACAGCTCGGCCAGCCGGCGTAGAAAGTGAGTTTTGCTTTCGTTTTGTTTACAATCAGTTTAACAATAAATTAATACATTTTTTATAATTTTCTATATTATATTAACTTTAGTAAAATGTTATAACAAAATGTAGGTAGAAATTAAAATCATAAATTAGGCCTGTGAAATATATACTTACCTACTTAGTTATTAACATAAATTATATTTTAGTTTCTTATCATCTAATTCTTGTTTTATTATGTTTGTGATTGAAGCGCACAATATTTTATATAATATATAAAAATAACAACCAGTCTTATGTTAATTTGAACAATTTACTTAAATAAGGATAAATTAAATTTTATTAAAAGAAATAGTAAAATCCGAAGCCAAAACTTCATAATATAAAATATATACTAGGTATAAGATTTTAAGTAATGATATGACAAATGCACGAAATTTATATCGCTTTCTTCTATTAGAGGGTAGGTATATAGAATTTTTTCTTTAATGACAATATCTTTTTTACATTAATACAGCATCATCTAGTTCCATGGTAAGCTACGAGGCTTATGTTATACCAGAATCCAGATAGTTGATACACTACACGTACCTATATAACTTATAAATACATACATATCTATTATATAAACACCCATGACAGGAGTACAAACATTCGTGCTCATCACATAAATGAATGCCCCCTGCGGGACTCGAACGCGCGACCGCTAGCACAGAAAGTAGCGTCACTACAAACAGTCAAACGTGTCGTCAAATATTTGAAATTGGTTCATAAGTTTAATTTAAGTTTCATATAAAATATCAGTACCAAGTAATTTAATAATAAGGTTGGGTAAAGATAAAAAATACAGAGCAGCCTATCCTACGATACGCATAACCTTACAAGTTAAACTTAATACTATGTATAAAAAGTTTACGAGGTATAAACTGAGTGTATAATAAGAATGTTGCGGCTTGCAGGGTAGATACTAGATAGGATAAAATATCTAAGCGGAACTATGAAAAAAATATTCTTTTTGGTTTAGTTCAAACTGCCCCATATCATTTCAATCAGATTTGAACTCGAAACAAAAGAATTGAATTAAGTTTGTATGTTTTAATATATACAGAACCATACCTGCTCAATAATACGCGTAGAATGTTAATACTTGTGGAAATCGTATTTGTGGCCAGTACCGTATAGGACAGTGCCAATCACATGTTACAAAAGCCATGTCAACTACGCTCTTTCTCGTTCCATATATTTTCTGTTGCTATTGAAAGATTGGATATTAAAGGTTTTAAATCACTATCATCACTGGTACATAAAACAGGCATGAAGTCAATACGTAAGCTCTAACAATAATTGTATGTCGTTTTCCGTATAGACTTCTATAGATACTTAATTTTTCTAAGAGGACAGATAGCTGCTTTGCGAGACCTTCATTGTTTCATCGACTATATAGAACCCTGTTGTCTTAAATAAAATAACTTTAACTGTGCGATTGATGCCAGTTTTGTAGGTACTTTTGCTGTAGTGCGAAACTACTTGTTAAAAACAAGTATAAATTTTTCAAATTTAGAAGTATTCGATACATGAGATATCTACCGGTTGCTTCAATAGCCAAATTTGAATAAGCCGTGACCTTCAACTCGTCTGGGTAATCCTGCGTGCTCTCGTGGACCTTGAAACGTTTCAAGGCCCCACGTACAATGCCTACATAACTAGATAAAGCCTTATGATAATCGTAAAAAACTACCCGATTATAATATCCCGGGAAGTAAACATTATGTTAGCACGTGACTTTTATTCAGGGTTAGCAATTTTTGACAGAATTCTTCTATACAATTCCCGATGGGTGTCATGAATATTTGAATATTTTCAATATAACTTGTAATTATGTATACCACGATATATATATATATATATATATATATATATATATATATATTTATACTCATAATGTAAAGTAGGTTAATGATACATACATATATTTCTGCTGCTATCAATATTACTATTATTTATATTAAGTATTTTCCTATTGAGTTAATGTATGAGGCAAATTTTTCACAACATCAATTTTAAGATTATTAGCAAAATCCAAGTAGATTTAAAAAAAAAAACAGGTGTTTATGCCGTATCGAAGGCATCGAATTACTTAAATTATAAATTACTCCAATATGTTGTTGTTCAATATTTTAAATATTTATTAATTAATCAAAAATCCAAATATATAGATAACTTGATTTATGCTATCAATATAACAAAGATATTTTTTTTGTCTACACCGAATGAGCGCTCATTTGAACATTTGAGGGTGCTTTTAATTTTTTTTCTTTGTGAAATAACTTTAAGTATTGCACTTAAGGTTCAATTTACATTGTTCTATATTTATTTCAACTAGAATAACTATTACCTAAACATAATTGGTGATAGTTTTACTTAGAACCTTTGCATGGGATCGTGTGTCTAGTGCTTTTTTGATCGATGTAAATAAAGCACTGAAATGAGTGTTCCATAACGAAATGTAACAAACAGGTACATATTATGGAGTACTTTTTAAGAATTCGCTAATCTCTTGAACAGTCAAAGTTCTACAAAGTAGTTTTTGAACGTAGTCTATTTGTTGAAGAAGTTTATTATCCTATCAATACGTTACAACTTATAACATAGGAAGCGGTGCCATTGCAATACATAATTAAACTACACGAGCAAAACCGCGGCCAAAAGCTATGGCGTGGGAATATGAATGAAGCAATTTCAATAAACACATCCACGCTGTTTGCCATGGTATTTCCGGTCTTATCTAAACGAGTTTTGGCTACAATCATACATGTCTGAATTCATAAGTCATTATTGTACTAAACTTACAGTCGAGGAGAGAGAACAAATATGCACAAGTACTTATTTTTTTGTCAAGTTATTTTTTTTTGTAAAGAATATGGTTTTTTCTTTATTACTTATTAAAAAATGTATAAAAATAACTTGTTGTTGAATTTTACTTTTTAGCTAATAAGAAACTTATATTTCGATTTATTGATGTTGTAGTATGTGACATTAGTAATTTTGTGGTAGGTACATTTTTTTGTGGAGGAATGATCTCACAAATGACCTTGAGTATAGTTAGTACATATCATGTACACGTGGTCCTTTAAATGATTATAAAGGATCTTATTTTTTATGTCGACGGAACAACATATTATGTGCTTTCAGTTTTCATTAAATTCAAGAAAAGCGGTAATGGTAAAGTTATACCTCTTTATATATTATATTTTTTAATTAGTCTAAGCTATTTCATACAAAATGAACGCGTTGGGAATGTACCGGGCAAAACGAATCAAACACTTGTCATAAGCTTTTAATTTGAAACAAAAAATCTACATTTTATTTTTCTTATTTTTTCAAAACAAAACTATCCCTTGGGAACTGTATATTTTTCCAGGATAAAAAGTAGCCTTATTGTTTGACCGGCAATATAAGGTATCGGCATGCCAAATTTTACTTAATTAGGTGCATATGTTATTGTGTACTAAGCTTCATAAGTTACTACAGTTTTTTAACTATCCCACAGAAATTTAATTAAAACTCAAGAAAAATCAATAAAGAAAAGTAGTATAAGGTAACACTATGCATAATTTCATTTAAATCGGTCCAATAGTTTCGGAGATTAG